AGAGAGAGAGAGAGAGAGAGAGAGAGAGAGAGAGAGAGAGAGAGAGAGAGAGAGAGAGCCTGGATTAGAGCCCTGAGGCACACCACATGATGAACACAGAAGCTCCTTTCTGTCAAAAGAAAAAGAAGATCCAAACCACTCCAGTGGTTCACGGTTTAAGGACTGCTCTTTGGCACAAAGGTCATATTGAAAATTAAACAGTGCTTGAAGGCAAGAGAACAGAGGAACATAAATACAAACAAATAAACACTTCGAGTCATAAAACTACGTGAATTACAAGGCCTCATGACCAAGTCATAAAACTGTTTTTAGAGTTATTCGTCCTACTTTTACCAGTCATCTGGACTCAGCCTTGTTTGGTCTCCTCTGGATTTCCTCAAGCTGTGCTGGAAGAAAACAAGAGGAGGAGGAGGAAGAGGTGGAGGAGGAGGAGGAGGATGAGTACAACGAATGACGACGATGGCGTTCGGTCCGGGTAGCTATCAGTAAACACACGGAGGAAGTAAAAGAGGCGAAACACCTGAGGAGTAACCGTCGGACGGGGGAAAAAACAAACAAACTTTTTCTCCTTCTTTTTGTTGTTTCTTTGGGAGGAAGGAGAACATCATGGCCGTGCTTCCTTCGCAGATTCGAGGACTTCAAACCGACGAGGTAAAACTAAAAACTACAACGTTTGTTTGTTTCGCTGCTCACGTCACCCTTCCGTTTGTCATTTAGCTAACTAGTTAACTGCAGCTAAACTTGGGCACAAACTAACCCGAATGTGAAGCCAGCTGACTTATTTGCTGGTTTATTGTGACAGCTTACTCGTACGTGTTTGGGAAAAACTTGGAGTCATGGATGATGACAGTTTGTCGTACAGGAAACTGTCAACGCCTGCTACGTGCCAAACTGAAACCGTCAAAACTCGCATTAGCTTTTCAGCGACTGTGTTAGCCTCCCCTGAGAAGGTTAGCTCGCTGAAAGTTTAATTTAATCCGCTACGACTGATTGAAATGTCACAAGTGATTCACAAACTATTATTAAAATCAGGAATGAGATTGTGGGGGAAAATATCGAAAGTGCTGAGCACCCTGACAGGATCATCCACAGCTAAACTTTGATTATGTTTAAAACAAATAACCAGATTTCTTTGTAATCCCTCACGAACTGAGCTTCTTGTCTGAGTATTTTGTACACATATGTGGTATATTATCACAAATTAAAAAATGATACTTCAAACTATAAAAAGTCRAACATTAAAAAATGTTACACTAAACTATATCAAATAGTGCAGTTTGAAAGTTTACACTAGATGTTTATCAAGTATATTRATACACGGTTTTTAAATGTGGGTATGCACTCGAGGTAAAGACCATATTTGAGTGCAGCAAAACATTTAAATTGTTGGATCCCAAACAGCTCTTCCATGGATCATGTGTTTGTTGATCTGATTTCAGTCACTTTAGCTGTTTCTGTAGGTAAACAAACATAGTTTGAAGCCAATCATGAATTTTGCTTATAATGCACTGATATGAGTCTGACAAATCTTCATGAATGAGCTGCTTGTAATTGTTTTTGCTCATTTGACTACAAAATTTTGTAGTACACTGATTGTATTCTTCTTTTTAGAAAGTGCCCGTGACATTAAAATTTAATAAATTAAATAATATTGTTTCAGTAAACAAAGAGTTCCCCATAGATGTCACTTCCTGTTTCAATTTGGCTGAGCCAAGTCTGGAAGAAAATGTGTAAAAATCATGTATATTAAGCCAAGTTTTATAAATATAAAGATGTTTTCTTTGACTTTTTTTGTATTTGAAGGCTATGCATGTCACAGGCACTTTATTGATCAGTTTCTAATAAAGTTATAATCATGAAGTTTTTGTTGACAGTTAAAATGACTTTATTAGAGGTGGGTTTTAACCTCACAAATCAGTGCGATTTAAATTCTTTGGGTCATGAATCGATATTGCTTCAAATGCTACAATATCAATTTCAAATTAAGTGGTAGTAATTCGTAGAGTCCTTGTGGATAATTTTTTAGATATTTGTTTTCTTACCCATATAAACAGAAAATAATGATATTTTATTTTGAGAAATAAAATATCTGAAAGCAGTAGCACAATAACACTGGCTCTAAATATGGAGTGCAAACAAAAACGTGACAAACTGGCTGGGGGATCGAATCGATTCAGAGGATTTTCTTAATCGAAATTGATTTGGAAAAAGTAATTGCATTGCATTGATGAATTTATATTTYTACCCACCCAGACTTTGTTTCTTTCTGGCCAGTTTATGTTTGTTTTTGCTGGGATTAAAGCTTTTGTCTCTCTCTATACTGCAGATCTTATTTACTTTCATTTAGTTATTATCCTCTTCTGGCTTAAAATCAAAATATTCCTTCACTGAATACCTTCAGTTAAAGTTTTCAAGTTTAGAGCCTTCTTTTGCAGTAAATTATTGCAAAAGGAGATGGTTCAAATGTGCAAATGTAGATTGACTGAGCTGTCAGCAGATAATTTACGCTGATTTTTAATGTTATTGTCATCAGATATACCGAAGCCAATTAAAAACCAAGGAGATCTGACGAATATTTTTTTAAAAGTTATGTAATTTTATAAATCATAWCTCTGGTTATACTTGGCCTACACAATTTAAAAACTGATGTATAGCCTGAAGTCTGTACTTATGACACAATTTAAAACCACTAGAATGATTTATATTTGTCATGTGACTAGAACATGTAGGTGTCCAGGGACTCCAAGGGTTAATCATCATATTAATCATTATTGGCTAAATACCACAATTAATCATGAATTGTTTTTTTTTTTTTTTGCCAATATCGCCCAATAGCTAATTGTGTTAATTGGCAACGGGTCAGTAAGAGGACTCAGTATTAAAACAACTTTTTTAAAAGAGGCAAAATTTATGGGCAAAAGCAAATCATCAAGCAAATATGCTTAAAATTGGTATTAGCTAATCTGTGGACCACTCAAATGGGCCAGGGTTATTAGGTCATCTTAAAACAACCCTCTACTCTAAAGAAATCTGTCATTTTTATATCTAAGCTCTTTTTTTATTCAGGATGAATCCAGAATCCTTAAAGTGAAAGTCATTTCTGGGATTGGGCTGGCCA